GCCGCCGGGCCGCTGGCACCTCTGCGCCGCCGCCTCAGCTGCTTAAGGCCATTGTGTCGATCGCCTGCTCCAGCTTACTCCTCAGCCGCTGCCGCCGGGCCTGCTCGTCCTTCTCCAAGGCAGCTAAAATCTGCCGGAGAGAAGGGAGAAGAGAGGGTGAGGAGATGCCCTCCCACCCACAGCGGCTCCTTGTTGCCCACGGCTCATCAACGGCATCGGGGCGTGGGGATGTGGCCCCACAAGAAGCAGGATCCATTCGTTTCTGTCCCTGTTGGGGATGGGAAGGGGCCAAAGGAGGTGTGAGGTGGAGGGCACTGCTCCGAGTGCTGCCGCCCCACAATCAGAGCACCCCAGGATGCCCAAGGGGCTGCAGTAACAGCAGGGACCCAAGGAGAAGCCAACTTGCATTGAAAACGGGGAAATGAGGAACATTAACACCCATCATCAAACAGAAACGAACCCCAAAACCGAGACAACATCTTCCCACCACGTCCATGACTCCAGTAAACCTGTAATACCATAGCAAGGCAGGGGCTGTATTTCAGAGAACACAATCCAGCCATTAAGTGGTTCCATGAGCACAAAAAGACCATGAGGCTTCTGCTGCCACCAGTGGTAAAACCCTGCTCAATCTCTCCCAAAAGTGGACAACTGGGGGTACTGGTGTGATGGAGGGGGACACCAGATGGATGCACCAGCAAAGCCTGCCTCACTGGTGCAAGTGGTGCACCCACAGACATCTGAGCATGACCTTCCTCCCTCAAAATCCCCTTTCCCTAAACCAGCTCCTGACAGGCTGCAGGTGGAGGGACGGTCCCCTGCCCTGGGCTGGATGTGGTCGTGCCAGGACAGGAAGGGTGGAGGCTGAGGCTCAGCGTGGGGAGAAGGGAGTAATGAAGTGTAAAACGAAGGGGCAGTTGCCCTCCCAGCAGCCAGGAGCCTCGTCTCACTAACATCACGCCAGCAGAGCAGGAAAGCTGATTTAAAAAAACAAACCTGACAGAAATCTCATCTCCTCGGGTGAGCTAGTTGAAAGAGCAAATTTTTTGCAATTAAATATCAAGGCATCCGTCAAAGGGGACTTGATTAACCATTTCATTGGCCGCATAATTGGAAACAAACTGTTGTATAATTAATAGACTTACTAGGAGGCAGGCAAAGTCCATCAGGAGCCCTACAGGTAACTTCTTAATGGGGAATCAGCTCCCTTTGATTAAGAGCTGCTGCAGCGCCGGCGGGTTGCGGAGCGGCGTGTGGGGCGTGCTGTGCAGCATTCCCCATGCTGCCGTGCAGCAGCTTCCAGTCACCAAGAGCTTTGGCTTTCTGCCAGACTTTTTGGGGCCTGAGCAGGCTGCTCCCTGCCTGCTGGGGCAGTAAGAAACGCCAAACAGAGAATCTCTTCCCTAAGGACAGGGCAAAGCTGCATTGCAACACCGGCATCAGCTCCCAAAGAGGGGAAGATTTGCCAGTGAGAGCCAGGCACATCTGATTTACCTCCCCTGGCAGCAACAACCTTGGGCTGCAGCTGGACTCATAAGAGCTCATAGATCCTGCCACAAACCTGCTACTGGGGACACTCCCCCCCATCCATCTCAGCAGTCACGCAACACATGGAATAAAATAACTATAATAACACTCATGCAGAAATCAAAACCCCATGCACCTGAAAGGTGCCTGAGCTGGAACCAAATGAGACTGGTCAAAGAAAAGGAAAAGGCACCTGCCCACCACCACCTCCACCTCTGCCAGTAAGACAGCTGGGATGCTGAGAGGTGTGGACAGATTCACAACCTGCCTCTGCATATATCTGCTCCTCTTTTACCTCAGCCTGACGGAAACAATGCAGGCAAAGGAAACCTGTGCCGAGCGTGGAGATGCAGGTTTGTCACCTGCTGTAAGGAGCCAGGACCACTGATTACTAAGATGCAAGTACCCAAATGAAAATTAATTATGATTTTCATTCACAGCCAATGACAGCATATTATTGCACTGAACAACAGGAAAAATTATTCTCTCCCATTTTGCATCAAAGAGGGTGCAATCGGGCTGCATATAATTGTGCTTAATGAATGAAAACAAACAAAGGGAACAGCTGCGATTTATTAATCCCATTACAAATAATAAAAGAAGTTCCTGAGAGCTGTGAACACACTTGCGATGCTCAGAGAGTGGGCAACAGCAAGATACTCAACAGATGACAGGTTGCTGTTAGTGGGCAAGAAGAAGACCTGTGCCCCTGAAGAGCAGCTTGTCAACGAGACATGGTCCCCTCTCTGCACTCACCCATGGCTTGGAGGATTTATTTAAGGCTTGGGGGAATTTCAGCCTGGAGGAAGTGAGCACTTGATGACAACTGAGGGACTATGGTTGCCCCCCAACAGATCTACATCCTACAGACTGCTGCTCTTCCACTCTCATGGCAGCCAAAGAGCTGTTGCACAAACTCTAAAACCCCCAAAACCCTTCACAGCCAACTCATCACACAGAGCTACGGGGGCCTCCTGGATATGCCATCCCAAGTTGTTAGGCAGTGGCAAAGAGCTCCTACCAGCACCTTCATCAGTACGTGGCCACCAGCTGCGCAGTGACCATCAAATGGCACCTCCCCAAGCACCAGAGTTTACTCCCATCTCCGTAGGCAAGCCAGGCCCTCCTCCTCCTCACTTCTGCAAAGTGCCTAGCTCCACAAGGATTTTGGCCACCACAGTCCCAGTGCTGACCTTAGACACAGAGGTCAGGTCTGCTATGACCTGCCTGTGGACTCCCTAAATTCACACCTCAAAGAGGCGCTGGGAGATGCCTCTCAGGATTGCTGCAGGATGCAGTGTGGACCCCGCTTCCTTTCCAAGTGATGTTCTGGCCCTCTGTCACCTAAATAAGCCACTATTCAAACAATCGTCAATCCCATTTATTGGGACAATAAAAACTATAGTATCATGTTATATGTATAGATCTATATTTCACTGTAGTTACATATTTTATGGCTTTAATAAAAAGACACAGGATGCGGATTTGAGCAGTGCTTTATGAAGTTAATTTGTATAAATTACAACAGAGGGGTTTTTAACCATTCTAACTGATGTTCACCAAGTAAGCACTGAAGAGGCCACCATACCCTCTTAGCAGCCCTGGGGAGCAGAGCCAGACATTGCCTGTACAGTCACACAGTATTGGTACCTCCATGGTGCCAGGCTGGTGGAGGTAGACAGGGGAGGCATAATGAGATAATGCCACGAACTCGGCAGCCCCATGCAGCTCATGTGCCAAATGTGTAGAAAAATAGACATTTCCCACATTATTCACTGCAGAAAATGGGGAGAACAAAGTGCTGCCTACACTATCACCTGGCTCTACGCCTCCCAAACCTTTCCCTCCCCACCAGCTTAAGCACAGACAGAGACTATGTTGCTCTCCCGCATTTCATGGGGTGATTTTCTACAGGAAAAAGCCAACAATGGCAGAAACACGGGCAAAGGGACGTGGCTTGTAGCTCAGGCTTGACTCTCCATCGCCATGTCTTACCTCATCCTTGTACTTGGTGATGTAGGAGTAGATCTCGTGCAGCGCACTCATGCTGTTGAACTGGCTGAGGTGTAACCGCGACTGCTCCGCCAGGTACGCGCTCATGTCCTGGTCACTGATCGCTGGCATTTTAGCTATATCTGCATAATATCTGTAAGGGAGAAAGAGAGGAGTGGGTCAGGGACAGACAGGAGGGGACAGAACCCCGCCGCAACCTTTGGAGAGTCAGGGGGAATAGCGTCTTCCCTCCAGGCAGTGACATACTGTGATCACCTACTATAACACTGCTGCTCACCGAGAGGTCTCCGAGCACTCCATGGGGGTCATCATCATCTGGAACGTGCTTCCAATGGAGCAGTGCTGAGCCCAGCTCAGCCCAGTTCACCATGCTGGGAAGCCAGGAGCTGCTCCTCTGAGGGAATTCCCACCCTCTCCTAAATCACACATTTTTCCTCCTTCCCAACCCATTGGCACGTTTTGCCACAAAAGCACACCCACGAGAACCCTCTGTGCTGGCAGCAACACGTGAGGCTTTGCTACCGTTCTCCTGTGGTCACCATGTCACCAAAGCCAACAATGCTCCTTTGCATTCCATTAAACACTTGGTCCATGAACCCACGTAACCTGTGTGGTTACATCTTCCACAGCAACAGACATTCGATGCAGCCTACAGCTGCTGCTGGCCATGCTCAAAAGTCACTGCACACCAAAAAGCTACAAGGAGTTTTCATTTTCAGTGCAAATTGAGGTTGTGCAGAAATGTCTGTGAACAAAAAGGGTCCTGGGCAGCAGAGGAAGCAGCTGACGTCTTAAAGCAAA